GCTAGTGAAGGTCATGGACACACTTTCCATGCAGGCAGCTTGGCTTCAAGATGAGCCTGTGAAAGGGGCTTGGGAGCACCTATGTGGGGCAGGTGGTGGGGGACAGGCAGGAATCACCCCAAACTCCCCTCCACCCTTGCCCAGGGGGAAGCTTAGAATCAGAAGCCTAGTGAGCAGGGCCCAGGGCCATTCACCTTGGCAGCCTGTGTTAGGAACCCAATGCGCCCTTGATGGGCGGTGTGAGCCCCCAAGGAACCAGCTCCAGCATAAGAGAGTTGGCTCCTCTAGGCTGTTGCAGCCAGGGAGGTGACGGCCATGTTGTCCTGTTCCTGTTCCTCCTTTAGCTCAGTTTGCCCAGCTGTCCCAGCTGAGCCCCCAGGAGCGTCTGAGCCGGGAGACGGCCCTGCAGCAGAAGCAGGTGTCCCTGGAGGCCTGGCTGCAGCGTGAGGCCCAGACGCTGCAGCAGTACCGCGTGGTGAGTGGGTGCTGGGTCCCTACTCCCAGGCACACAGTGCCTATCCTGAGTCTCCGGGGGCCCAACAGAGAGAGAGTGCCAGGATGAGAGAGGAACCAGTAGAGCAGGTTCCTTCTTTCCAGGGGAACCCAGGCACGGGTATTTCTGAGCCGGTCCCTGCAGAGTTGTCTGTGGGAGCCCAGCAGGCCCTGCTGTCCCTGCCTTTCTGCAGGAGCTGGCGGAGAAGCACCAGAAGACCCTGCAGCTGCTACGGAAGCAGCAGACCATCATTCTAGATGACGAGCTGATCCAGTGGAAGCGGCGGCAGCAGCTGGCCGGGAATGGCGGGCCCCCCGAGGGCAGCCTGGATGTGCTGCAGTCCTGGTAATGGGTGTAGAGGTGGCAGAGGCAGGCCGGCTGGGGTGGTGGCACCAGCTGCTTCTGCCTCTTGCACTGGGAGATGCAGCCAGCTCCCTCTGCCTTATGACAGCTATTATTTCAAGAGTAGGCCTGGCTCCCGATCCAGACCCTGTCCCCCATCAGTGCCACCTCCCCTAGAAGGGGGGGGTTATTGGCCTAGAGAACTGGACAAGACTCAGATGTGCAGAGTGTCACTCAGGCTGTCTGGGCCTAAGTCAGGGTCACCCTCCTGTGTTATTTCTCTGCACTTCTGGAAGGCAGGGAGCTCTGCTCTGTGCCAGTGGGTGGGAGGCCTTGCTGGGTGAGGGGGGAGCTGTGTCATAGGGGTGCTCCCCAGCCCAGGAGCCTCCCAGGGGTCTGGAGGAGAAGCCATCATCTTCCCATTATCCTGTTGCTCCCATGCAGGTGTGAGAAGTTGGCCGAGATCATCTGGCAGAACCGGCAGCAGATCCGCAGGGCTGAGCACCTCTGCCAGCAGCTGCCCATCCCCGGGCCAGTGGAGGAGATGCTGGCCGAAGTCAATGCCACCATCACAGACATCATCTCAGCCCTGGTGACCAGGTGACTACAGCCTCTTGGCCATAACCAGTGGGGTAGGGCCAGCTCCCATGGGGGTGATATGTGGGGGCAGAAGGGCCTTCCAGACCAGGAGCTCTGCTTCCTTCCTCATCTCTCTTCCTGGCACCCCTTCCTGCTCTGTCTCCAGTTGCCGTGGCCCCTGGGCACCGCCCTTGCCCAGTTTCTATTGTGGACATGACAGGAGGTGCCCTCAGGCCCCGTAGCCCTTGCTGGCTGCTGAGTTCCTTTCCCTTCCCCTCCCCACCATCTCATGTCTCCCTGGGAGCAGTGCTGGGCGCTTGCTGTTCCTTTACCGGCTGATCCCAGGGGACACAGTACCCCTCCAGCACACACGAGGGTCCTGCAGCCCTTTCCCTGAGCCAGCATCTCATGGTCCGTGTGGTCACTGTGTCCCCACAGCACATTCATCATCGAGAAGCAGCCCCCTCAGGTCCTGAAGACCCAGACCAAGTTTGCAGCCACCGTGCGCCTGCTGGTGGGCGGGAAGCTGAACGTGCACATGAACCCCCCTCAGGTGAAGGCGACCATCATCAGCGAGCAGCAGGCCAAGTCCCTGCTCAAGAACGAGAACACCCGCAAGTAATTGTGCTGCTTCTCCTGCCCTGCTACTTTCCTTGTGTCTTTGCTGTGGCGAGAAAGTCCTTCTGTCTCCTAGGTCACATTTCTGTTTGCCCTTCTAATCTATTCTGGATCTCAGAGAAAGAATATAAGGAGCTTCTCCTATGAACTATATCTCTCTTCTGTGACAGTCATAGGATTTTGTTTCATTTATTAGGGATACAACTAGGAAAATCCCTTGTGTATTTTGTATAGCTAACATTTCCTGTAAATGATATACATTTTTGGCAAACTTTGTTATTTTCTTCTACCCCAAATATATTCTTTCCTCCATGTACACAGAGGCCCTGATGTGGGTCTGGAGATGCTCTGTCTCTGATTTACAGTGATTACAGCGGTGAGATCTTGAACAACTGCTGTGTCATGGAATATCACCAAGCCATGGGCACCCTCAGCGCCCACTTCAGAAATATGGTGAGGATGGGCGGAGAGGAGAATGACGTTTTCCTGGTTCTTTGAGGGGAACAACTCTCACCTTAGGCTTCACCTTATGTCTGGCCTTTGCAGTCCCTGAAACGAATTAAGAGGTCTGACCGTCGTGGGGCAGAGTCAGTGACAGAAGAAAAATTTACAATTCTGTTTGAATCACAGTTCAGTGTTGGTGGAAATGAACTGGTTTTTCAAGTCAAGGTAAAACCCTCCCTTCGCTGTGTGTGTTTGTGTGTGTGTGTATGTTGGTGTATAATATGTGTGTCACGAAAGAACTGGGTTTATTATATAGCATCTTTTTTTTCTTTTTCTTTTCTTTTCTTTTTTTTTTTTTTTT